TAATTAATAAGATTATCAGATTTCTTGCGTCCATTTAAACGTTCACATGCCAAGCTTGCGAACGTGTTTAATAATTGGTAATAAGATATTTAAATTTCTCGCGTCCATTTAAACTACCACGTGCCAAGCTTGCGAACGTGTTTAATAATTAGTAATAAGATATTTAAATTTCTCGCGTCCATTTAAACGGTCACGTGCCGGGTTTGCAAACGTATTTGATAATTTGTAATAAGATTGTTAAATTTCTCGCGTCCATTTAAATGACCACGTGCCGGGCTTGTGAAAGTGTTTAATAATTAATAATAAGATATTTAAATTTCTAGCGTCCATTTAAACGACCACGTGCCAAGCCTGCGAACGTGTTTAATAATTAATAATAAGGTATTTAACTTTCTCGCGTCCATTTAAACGTCCGCGTGCCAAGCTTGCGAACGTGTTTAATAATTAATAATAAAATATTTAAATTTATCGCGTCCATTTAAACGACCACGTGCCGGGCTTGTAAACGTGTTTGATAATTAATAAGATTATCAGATTTCTCGCGTCCATTTAAACGGTCACGTGCCGGGTTTGCAAACGTATTTGATAATTAATAATAAGATTATCAGATTTCTCGCGTCCATTTAAACGACCACGAGCCGGGCTTGTAAAAGTGTTTTATAATTAATAATAAGATTGTTACATTTCTCGCGTCCATTTAAACTACCACGTGCCAAGCTTGCGAACGTGTTTAATAAGATATTTAAATTTCTCGCGTCCATTTAAACGGTCACGTGCCGGGTTTGCAAACGTATTTGATAATTAGTAATAAGATTGTTAAATTTCTCGCGTCCATTTAAACGACCACGTGCCGGGCTTGTGAAAGTGTTTAATAATTAATAATAAGATATTTAAATTTCTAGCGTTCATTTAAACGATCACGTGCCAAGCTTGCGAACGTGTTTAATAATTAATAATAAGGTATTTAACTTTCTCGCGTCCATTTAAACGTCCGCGTGCCAAGCTTGCGAATGTGTTTAATAATTAATAATAAAATATTTAAATTTATCGCGTCCATTTAAACGACCACGTGCCGGGCTTGTAAACGTGTTTGATAATTAATAAGATTATCAGATTTCTTGCGTCCATTTAAACGGTCACGTGCCAAGCTTGCGAACGTGTTTAATAATTGGTAATAAGATATTTAAATTTCTCGCGTCTATTTAAACTACCACGTGCCAAGCTTGCGAACGTGTTTAATAATTAGTAATAAGATATTTAAA